AGAAGTCTTACAAAAAAGTGGTGTATTTGTTTATTGAATAAAAATATTCACAATGTCCAGAACTTGAAACAAACCATTTAAATCTTGACTTGCAAATGCAATATATTGCTTACTGCATATACATCCAACTAGGTCCCAAATGGCTTTTGCAAGGATTTAACTTTTTTTTTAGATTGAGGAAGAAACTTTGCGTTGTTCATTTTATCAATGCAATTTAATACATTCACGTTGATGTGATTTGCCTGCAAAGCCCATTATATCACACCCTTCTTATATATAACATCTGTACTCTGTCTGCATTTAATTCATACACTTGTCACTACAGTATGAATTCATTTTATTGAATTTTTGAGTTGGGGTTGCTCTGCATGTGACTGCATTTACGTTGACATTATTCCAGAAGACTTGTAGATCTTCGAAAATTTTCAAGTTTTTAATTAATTTACAGCTCCTTTTGAAAACATATCATGATAAGATGATTCGACTGTTAGTACAACCTAAGAGTTAGTTCACTCAAAAATGAAAACTATCATCATCTTTGGAGCACAAATTAAGATATTTTTAATGAAAACAGAGATTTCTGTCCCTCCCACACAACTATCACTTTGAGGCTTCAAAAAGTTAATAAAGAGATCGTAAAACTAATCCATATGAATTGAGAGGTTTAATCCAAACTTTCTGAAGAAACTCAATAATTGTATATGATGAACAGATTTAATTGAGGCTTTTATTAGCTTAAACATTCATCAATAATCAATGGGGTTTGTTGTGCATCAAGCAAGTACAGTTGAACCTCTGTTTATGTTTGCTGATCAATGTTTAATGAAATCCTAAATACAATTTATTCATAAGGATTAGTTTTAAGATCTCTTCATGACCTTGCAGCATCAGAGAGCTGTCAATGGAGGGACAGAAATCTCTCAGATTTCATTAAAAATATCTTAATTTGTGTTCCGGAGATAAACGAAAGTCTTACTGGTTTGAAACGACTTGAGGGTGAGTAAATTACATTTTTTTTTTCTGGGTGAACTAACCCTTAAGCTTACGATGCTTTTGGAAAACTAGTCCAGGATCTTTCACTGGTTTTGTCCGTGTGGCCTCTAGAGGGCGCAACGTCACCAGCCACTGACCACACGCTCACGTGACGTGATCCAGTCGAATTTGCAGAGTAAACTTCTATACGGTACACACCTGCCCACAATGTATAATGCCGTGATTATAAAAGCAAATACATATTACATTGTAAATAAAACAAATATTATAGACAATACTCAGTGTTGGCAATATTTACAATCATCTGTAAAGTCAAGAGAGCAACACAATGTCTTGATAGTCATATTCATACAATGCATGAATGAGCACACTATCAAACTTTCAAATATGTACATACCTAAAGCAGCAGTCATATGTTGTAAAAACTATAGCTGCTATAAATGCAAATAGTGATATTTACTTAAATTGTGTTGTTGCATTGGATTACATAACAGCCTTGTCATACATGACGCCGTGCTGCTAGTGGCGATTTGGCAGTATGAGACTAGACACTTAAAAATGATTTATTATTATTATTATAGAGTACCGTTGCTAAGCTTTTTTCACTTACTCTTGCCTGTTCCTGATTGCCACACTTATTGCAGCTCATTGTGGGGGTACGTTTGAGAGGCAGTAGGGTTTGTTGGCTTTGTTGCCATAGATACAGAGAGTTGCTAGGCAGCAGACAGGATGCTACGGAAGCCAAGTGCAGCAGATCAGCGGGTCACTGCAGAGAGGAAAATTTTCACCCACACACCTTTCATCTGGATTAATACATTCAGAAATAAAGGAAAAGAGAAAAAGAAAGAATCAGGCATATGGAGAACAAAGTAACGTAAACAAGTGTGCATCTGCAAGAAAAAGTGAGAGTGAAAAAAGAGAAGGAAATGAGAAGGCAAGCAAAAAGATAATCCATCTGTAAAAGTTTCATTTTCAGCCCTTCTTAGCTCTGAAAGCAGCTGTTTTGAAACATACACTCACCTAAAGGATTATAAGGAACACCTGTTCAATTTCTTATTAATGCAATAATCAACCAATCACATGGCCGTTGCTTCAATGCATTTAGGGGTGTGGTCCTGGTCAAGACAATCCCCTGAACTCCAAACTGAATGTCAGAATGGGAAAGAAAGGTGATTTAAGCAAATTTGAAGGTGGCATGGTTGTTGGTGCCAGACAGGCCGGTCTGAGTATTTCACAATCTGCTCAGTTACTGGGATTTTCTAGGGTTTACAAAGAATGGTGTGAAGAGGGAAAAACATCCAGTATGCGGCAGTCCTGTGGGCAAAAATGCCTTGTTGATGCTAGAGGTCAGAGGAGAATGGGCCGACAATTCAAGCTGATAGTAGAGCAACTTTGACTGAAATAACCACTCGTTACAACCGAGGTATGCAGCAAAGCATTTGTAAAGCCACAACACGCACAACCTTGAGGCGGAAGGGCTAAAACAGCAGAAGACCCCACTGGGTACCACTCATCTCCACTACAATTAGGAAAAAGAGGATACAATTTGCAAGAGCTCACCAAAATTGGACAGTTGAAGTCTGGAAAAATGTCATCTGGTCTTATCTTGATTTCTGTTGACATATTCAGATGGTAGAGTCAGAATTTGGCGTAAACAGAATCAAAACATGGATCCATCATCCCTTGTTACCACTGTGCAGGCTGGTGGTGGTGGTGTAATGGTGTGGGGATTTTTTCTTGGCACACTTTGGGCCCCTTAGTGCCAATTGAGCATCGCTTAAATGCCATGTTCTTCCTGAGCATTGTTTCTGACCATGTCCCTTTATGGCCACCATGTACCAATCCTCTGATGGCTACCTCCAGCAGGATAATGCACCATGTCACAAAGCTCGAATCATTTCAAATTGGTTTCTTGAACATGACAATGAGTTCACTGTACTAAAATGGCCCCCACAGTCACCAGATCTCAACCCAACAGAGCATCTTTGGGATGTGGTGGAATGGGAACTTCATGTCCTGGATGCGCATCCCACAAATCTCCATCAACTGTAAGATGCTATCCTTTCAATATGGGCCAACATTTCTAAAGAATGCTTTCAGCACCTTGTTGAATCAATGCCACGTAGAATTAAGGCAGTTCTGAAGGCGAAAGGGGGTCAAACACAGTATTAGTATGGTGTTCCTAATAATCCTTTAGGTGAGTGTATGTTTGAGCATGCCGGGCATTCAATTTTGAAACACCACCTGCGTGTGAATAAAATAAAGTTGAACAGTTTTATATGGTTTAAAATTGCAATGCACTGCAAATGGATCTTTTTTACTGTACACATAGTAGATTCAAAGATGAATAAGATGTAATCTGACATTTTTTACTTGTTCATAACTGCCCACTGTGGTCTGTCAATAACTGACCCCAGATCAGAGGCCTTGTCACCCCCACTTTCATGATTGTTTTTGCCTGCAGTGAAGGTTTCGTGGCTGAATGGCATTCTGTTCAGTGCGCAGGCTGAGTGTAGGAAGCAAGTGATCTGAGAGAGGGCAACAGGGTGTCCATCTGTTTGTGTAAATGCTCTTCCACAAAACCCCAGTGCATAAGCTCCTTACATAAGGAATAAAACAGAGTAATCTCTCTCCTCCACAGGTATAGGCCTATATGCAATGGGCTACAATCACGTTGCTTCTTTTATTTATTTTTTAAGTAAATTGATGTTTATATAGGCCTACATATAAATTAATGCTGTCAAATCGATTAATCGATAAAAGTTTTTGTTTATATATATATATATATATATATATATATATATATATAATGTTTATTGCCTGTATATATATATATATATATATATATATATTATATAGATATATAGATATATGTGTGTGTGTGTGTGTGTGTGTTTGTAAATTTTGCTTTTGACTAAACATTCCTCAACAAGGAGTCAGGGCCTCAAAAACTGAACGAACTAAAAAATAATTAAAGAAAATGAAATAAAATACACTTTATTAAGACAATTATTATTGCTCGCTGATTTATGTGATAATCTCCTCAAAAGTATCCTGGTTGCCTATATCGCATTTCATTCATATATCGCACTCGCAGACTGAAAGAGTTTTGTTTTCGACTCCTGTGACTTTAAGTGTTCCTCCATGCCAGTGACGCACGCAGCTCTGATCCGAGTATATGTCGCAAGTGGATTCTCATCCACTTTTAATCCTTTAAATAAGATTTCGGGTTTGTTTTTTGTTCTCTTGATATTTCAAACCCCGTGCAGTTGATTTCCAGGTGGACCAGTAAGATTTTATCCGTTTCAACTGCCTTCAAACTTACCGCACTCTGACATTTTCATTTTTCTGCATGCATCACCACCATTCCCTCTGTAAACACTATATCCATCCACGAAAAATAGTACTTGAAATGCTTTTATTGGATTTGCCTGATGTATAATACATGGAGCCACTAAATCAGCCTGGTCAAAAACTGTATTTAATATTTTGTCTAATAATAGACCATTCTTAACACACTTAATGCTTCATTGTGTTTAAGCGAGTTTTAAAAATAAAATGCACGAATGCAGTTCTACTTATGAATGATGCACTTATTATGTGCGTTAAAGAAAACAGAATTTAGCCTTCCTGCTGACGTAACCTACTGAACCGTGTACATCTTAGATTATAAATAATAAAACGTGTTTAATATAGCGCACAAGCCATATCATGATTACATGTATATTTTCAGTATATATTTTATAAAATATTTCAAATATAAAATACGGTAACATATACAAGTAATAATTACATTCCAGTTCTCAAATGTAAACACAGAGAGGAATTTTTTTTACAGGATCGTTTCCTTAAGATGGGGAAGCGGATGAATACATAAAGCGCGTCAGCATGATCTCTTCCTATTGCACATTAGCCCCGCCCACAATTCTTCTTCCACACAGCAGTGCCCGTACTTTAACCTGATTGGACGAAAAACGCAAAGCTCATGTCTGATTGGTCACATTATCTGTCCATCATAATGCATTACCAGTCATGGTGGATAGGACACTTTGTACATGGAGGTTTTTGACTGTACGGGCTAAATGATAACCCTGAACAGGAGTTAAGGAGTTCACATATTATTATTGACATTTGCTCGCTGTTTTTTTATATTCTTGCCTGGTTTGATATATATTACTCTTCTTTACCTATCGGGCCGTAAGAAACCTGGTGTTTATCGCACAGATGTGGATCTTGTAGCTGCTCCGGGTAAGTCGTTCGTCAAGTCTAGCTGAAGCTCTTACAGTGTTGAATTATTGCCGTAACCTCTCTGAATTATTTTTATTATTATTACTTTAAATACCAAAATTCAGGCTCATTCGCGTTCGTGCGCAAACATGCACTGGTTGTTTTTTGTATGGTTCTCTTTATGGCATCAAAGTCGCGTCTGAAATCGAAGCCAGTGAGATACGGAGGTTCAGACTAGGCGTTTAAAAACCAACTGGTGACAAGGGAATAATATATAATCCATCACAATTACAATAAATATCACATACATCTACCTAAGTGCTCGTGGATTATTAGAAACTGTGACTTACAGGGCCAATATGAACGGTGATCGTTGTTGTGGTGCTTCTGACAAGCTGTCAGATTTAGTCGCTGTCTGAAATGTCAACATAATTTTGATGCAGTCGCACACATTTCAGTTTACTGTGTAGGGTGCTACAGGATAGCATGTGTTATATGGTGGAACATATTATATGGTTTTAACTGATGCGAGGTAACGTTATGTTTTTGGGGATGTTTGTTGGAATGGAGTGATTTTTTTTAGCACTGAAGGCTGAAGCCACTTATCAAGTTTGGTTGATCCTGCTCACGGACTCTAAACAAAAGTTTGGTTTAACCTACGCAGTTCTGCGGCACCACCCTCTCTCTCTCTCTCTCTCAATTCAATTCAATTCAATTCAATTCAAATTGCTTTATTGGCATGACTGTACATATTACAATATTGCCAAAGCTTGTAACACATAGCATAGTGAAGACATCAATAAAAACAAAGTATTATAACAACTTAAATTGAAATGTACAAATTAAATTAATTGCAAAAAATAACAGTGTAACAGATTATAAATTCTATGAACTCTCTCTCTCTCTCTCTCTCTCTCTCTCTCTCTCTCTCTCTCTCTCTCTCTCTCTCTCTCATATGCAATAACAACATGTGTTTTTGGTGTATTCGTCCTCTTAAAAACTTTCTTCGCTACATTTACTGGCTCTAAAGTCAAACTTTTGATGCCAAGGACATCCAAATATGATGATCCCCTTTTATAAAGAAAACAAAAATATCTGTTTCTGTAATTGTCTATGAAATCATCAATGACATATCCATTATTAATCTCATGATATAATGTCAATTTTGGTGTAAAACAAAAACTTAATGTATTACCTCCCGGACACCCCATGCCGGCCTCCTTGAGGTCCCCAGAGCCCTGTATTAAAACCCCTGCCTGTCCTAAGACATTCAGAGGAAAAAAAAAAAGTCTTTTAAACAACTTGTGAATGTGTGACTTCAGTCTCTGTTGAAAATTCGTTAGTTTGAAGTTTGCACAGGCTGAGTTGTAAGTGTGAAGTGCGTTTGTCCAAGACACTTGGCTGTAGTGTAATGTGTGTGTGTGTGTGTACACAAAGCTTTGAATGGTGTCTTCAGAATTCCAGCTCTCATTATAGGCTGAATCTCATAATGAGCTGAATGTCTAGGTCATGCAGACAGGTACTGTGCTGTCGTGATTCCCAGCAGGGTGTCAGCTCTACCTCCAGAGACTCAATGCTGTTATGTCCTCCCACCTGGGGTTCCAATAACAGTCAGAGAGAAAAGGTTCTTTCACACATTAAAAACCTACCACTGGTGTTTTGAAATGCTTAAAAAAGTTTTCACAAAATAACAAGCCTCATGTGAACAATCATGTTTGTTTTATGAAAAAGCTCAGCTCGATAATGGGAGGTAAGATACATGGAAACTATTAGGCGGATGCATTTCGGAAAGGTTTTTTGGGGGGATTGACCAAGGAACCAAGTAAAGCAACGCAGGATGATGCAAAACATGACAGAACAAAAGTAGTGTGATACCTTCACCCTGATCATCTATGATGATATTTTCATCAACATGAGGTCAAAATAATGACTTCATTCTGAGTCTCTCATCTAATTTCCCACATAAACACAAATTTATGACTATACTGTCGCAGTTTTTAGATGTCTATTTGTCTGTTTTGTTTTTGATGTGTGTTTTATTACGCGCCCTTTCTCATCCGTCAAAGGCCCTCTGCTGCCTATAAAGCAGGTCTTCACTTTGTTCTCATTGTCTGATTTGTGAAATATTCTTCTGATTATACGGCATATAATATGGCCACGTTTGAATCAATTTTTCCACTCAAACAATGTCTCTGGCCTTTCGTGTCTCCCTCAAAGCATTTTAGAAAAAAAAAAAAGCTTGCTGTAGACCGAACCCAGATATCCAGCAGATGTTTGCCAAATACTGGTGTCGTTCACTCAAATCTTTTTTTGGTCTTATGAATTTCATACAGGTTTGGAATGACATGTAAATGATGACAGAAGGTTATTACAATTTTGTAGCCCTTGATCATGGCATCTGATATTGCCCAACATTTGATTGGAAACAAATCCACTTTAAGGTCACAATGCTGCTGATTGAATTAAGTATTATGGGGCGGGGGGAGCCCTTCCCTGCCCTTTCCCATTCAAAATGGCCTCAGTGTCCTTACTGACCATGTGGCTGTTAGAGTAGGGCACGGTAAAGGGCCGAAGCTCCTCTGAGAGGACACAGCCCTCCTTCCCTGTGTTAATCTCTCCTCCAGCAAGCTCTTAATTGAGCCGCCATCAGCTGATCTAGGGGTTAAACATCAATTAAGGTAATGAGCAGTGTGAAAAGAGACCACTGAAGATGAGGGCAACCCTTTCCCGACACGAGATTGCCAGGGGTTTAGACAAGCAATCAGAGTTGCATGTTTTTAAAATGAGCTTTTGAAATGCTAGCTGGCATGTTTAGGCTTTTCAAATTGTGCATTGGTATCTCAGACTTGAGAAAGCAACATTGTGATTTAAAATGATAGATAATCAATAAAGTGATTCTTATTGATTATCGACCATGGCATTACAAATAATTGTCTGCCAGTGCATCAAATAAAAGTGTAATAATGACATGTCATGAAAACTCTTTGAATGCACGCGTCTCTAACTAATGATGATGCAAGCATTATTTAATGAAATTTAAAACAACATATAGGCTAATTGAATAAAAATCGATTCTTTTAGTTATTTCAAGACCCTGTTGTTTCCTTCAGCCTGATTTAACTTGCTAGATTGACTTGGAAGGCAGAAGGTTTCTGGACTAGTTTTTGCTGTCCAAACAAGGTCTAGAGAACAGTGTGGTTACCTCAATGCTGAAGTACTGGTGTCATCTTACTGAGGAGAGAGCAGCTGTATCCCTTATAAAGACCACCACTCATGTGCTCACACAAACACATGGGTTAAAAAGACAAACCACCATTCATGCTCTTGCTGCCTGAAGAGTTTAACCTTCGAGGATCTCTTCAATGCCTATGTGCATAGTGATTTCTTTCTGTAGTAAGACATACGCGTGAATAATTGGTTCTCATGTGAACATCTTTTGATCATTTTATTATGCAAGACACCGAATGCATTATGAGGTAAATGATGAAATTGCTGCCTTTACGGTGGTTAAACACTTGAATCCTTGATTAATGAACGTAGGCAGCTCAGACATCTGTCATGCTTGGACATTTTCACGCAGTCCCAACGACACTGATTTCTATATCGTGAATCAGACTTATCCGGTTGAGCTCAAAATATGTCATCATCAGTAGTACTGAATTCCTTAAAATTCCCCTTGAGCTAAAAGGATGTGTGTTGACCTCATTCTGGCTATGCGGTTAAAAGGATAACAAATGAGAACCTGAAAAATTGAATTTTGTTTATTTTTAGTTTGGGATTAATCTATGCGAAACATTATGTTAGAATTTTGCTTCTAAATATGGTGAATGTCTGCTCCTTTCTGAGTGCGTCTGTGTGTGGATATTTTGGTTGTTGTATGACGGAGGGGTTTAGTCGTCGATTTTATCTACATTACTTTTTTTTTCTCTGTATTTCCTGCTCAATGTAAGTGTTAACGGATGAATCCAATTGCATAAAACCGACATGTGTGGAGGTTACCACAACCATGACCTACATAAGTGAAATGTTGTTTTGATATTCACATGCGTAGCATTTATTTCATGGATGAGGTTCCAGTAACATTTGCTGTGTTTATTGAATATCTTGCTGTACTTGAAGGGATAGTTCACACGAAAATGTAAATTCTGTCATCATTTACATACCCTCATGTCCTTCCGAACCTGTTCCGACTTTCTCTTTTCTGTAGAGCACAAAAAAGATATTTTATAAACTATCTCTTTGTTGTTGTTGTTTTTTGTCCATACAGTGAAACTCAATGGGGTCCAGTATTGTTTTGGACCCTATTTACTTTCATTATGGTCATAAAACTCTGAGACAGTAATATGTTTTTCAAAATATCTTCTTCTTTACTCAGCTCTCTGTCAACGTCTGACTCTGTGTGCGTTTTCCTTCCAGAACAAAGCAGAGCAATGTCATCTTGTCAGGTCTCGTCTGGTGTAACCTATGCATACCCGACAGAGATATTTCCCTTGGGAACACACACAAAGTCATTTACTGCAACCTTGTACCTGATTCTGCAGCGTGGGGTAGGAGAAGATAGAATAAGATTCTAATGATTTCAATTCCATGTTCATGTAAAGACAGAGATAACAGGAACTCTTCCTCTGTTCTTCCTGTCAGAAACTGGCTTACTAACGATATACGACCTAACATAGAGATTAGCTTTGCTTCACGTTCAGGGTTATTCAGGATACTTGAGTTAAAAGGGCTTCATCTTCATAATGCAATTTTTAATGAAATCTAAGAGATTTCTGTCCCTCCATTGACACCTATATTCAACTACCACTTTCAAGCCCCAGAAAACTAGTAAAGATATTATACAAGTAATCCATGTGACTCCAGTGGTTTAACCTCAGTTTTATGAAGCGCTGCGAGTGCTTCATTAACACAAAGAAGAAAAATGATTTACCTCATTATTTTAAAAATATGAATCTCTAAAGCGCGTTCATGAGACCACCACGACGATGTGATGTGAACTTGCGTTGGAGATTAGCCTAATA